TGAAGGGACATGGTGGTTGGTTTGTGCACCAGCAGTTTGGTTATGGTCTTCCGCACGCATGTGAGCTGATCCTTTAGTGCTATTTGGTTTCACAATCGGCACGGTAGTGGACACGTCTTTCTTACCCTTGCGAATCACAGAGTTGTCACTACCTACTCTCCCGGTCTTACCATTTTTGTTCCTGACCAGCTGCCAACCGCCATTACCCGTGGAAGATGATTCCCCATGGTTTACCGTCCTAGTAGCACCCCCTCGACCTGCTTGAAAGCTCGTCACCGGTGCCTCAAACACGCCTTTACCCTTGGTAAGACTCGTAAATGCCTGGGCAGCTGTGGGAGCTACGTGGTCGGTGTTCAACTCATCCCCCTCTGCATCTGCCAGCGAGGCAAATCTCGAGCCCGAGACTTCACCGCCAACCCTGTTGCTCTTATGGTGGGTGCTGGGGTCTCCCTTTTTTAGCCACAGTTGGGGTCTGGTGCCCATTTTGGCTCTCATCCATGGCCCGTATTGAGTCTCGCCCGCGGCTGCCACTGTCGGGGCCCCACTAGCTCCATTCTTTGTCGTAGAGGGAGCGGCCTCTGCAGCGACACTCGAGGTATCGTCCCGTCTTGGCTCCTTCTGTCGGTTAGGGAAAATAGCTGCCAGATGGCCACATCGACCACACGAATAACAAATATCCGGGAGCATCTCGTATTCAATAGTTTGAGTTTTTCCACGAATGGTGAACTGAGTGCGGAGAGGTTTCGATAAGTCTAATTGCACTGCTAGTCGCGCGAACTTCCCTCGTGTCTGGGCGGCCGTCTGGTGATCAATCTTAAGAACCTTGCCCATAATCATCCCAATGGTGCGAAAAATTTTTTTGTGGTAGAGATGTACTGGGAGACCTGGGAGACGAATCCATGCCACCGTAGAAGTGACTTGATTGGAGGCCACATCGAAATCGTCAGTCCATTGTTGAACATGGAGATAGTGTTTATTCACCACCCACGGGCCACCAGTAAGGGCCGACAAGACGTCATCCTGAGAGCGGAGCTGGAGCATAAAATACCCGTTCTCAGCGTCAAGGATCGGACATCCCTGTGCAAATGGCCAAATTGTCAGCAACTTTCGGTGCAACGTCTCCATATGCATTTTGAGGCCCAACAATTTGACCACAATCACGTTGCGAAACGATTGAACGCGGCTTTCATAGAACGAGTCTGTCATTTGGATGTCTGGAATAGGGTTTGTAAAATCCACAAACACCTCATCATCAGGGCTGCCATCCTCGTCCTCAGCATCAAAATCAACATGAGGATGCGTTCTGTTCAGAGTATCCCTGAAGCTTAGCGGTGGCGGAGAAGAGAGAGGTGCAGGAGGCGGATTGGGTTTCGCCGCATCATCATCAAGTTCCTCCAGCGGGAAATACCCCTGTGGGTCCGGGCGGCGTTTCTTCGAAGAACGAGGTCCTGAGAATCCCGGAGGATTTGCTGCAAGGAGTGGCGGAAATGGGTCTGGCGGA